ATGGACGGCGTACTCTGTTGCTAAGGTAATTACAGGCATCTTCACCCTCTACATCAGGGCCTGCTTTGTCACAGCTATTAACCCTGGGATAAAATGAGAGAAGGGGACATCAGCTCCGTGGGAGGTTCGAAGGAAGTGAAAAGTTCCACTTGCTGGTGGGCCTCCTGGTGACAGCCGGCAGCATGGCTGGTGTGGTTACTGGTGTCTTCAGGAAGCTGGTACCAGGCAGGGAGTCAGTGACTGCGTTTCACACGGACCTGGTGGGATGTGGCTGGAGGGCCTGCGGGAGCCACTGGCCAGCTGAGGAAGCCAGGGGCTGGAGCGCTGCATCCAGAAGGGGTCAGAACAGTGGAGACCTGTGGTTCGAGGCGGGGATGGGAGCATGAGGGGAGTTTCTGGGATGATGGGCAACTGCATACCCGGACTGGGTGTTAGTTACGTGGTGTATGCATTTGTCAAAACTCACCACATTGCACTCCAGCTCTGTGCATTCACATAAAATGTAAATTTAATCTCAATAAAGGCAATATTTCAGACGAGACAGGGAGAAGGCCGCCTCAGGGACCATAGGAGAACAGCCCTAGAGTGGCTGTAGAATTTATTTTTTGTGATGGAGAGATAGGTTGGGCCTGGCCGGCGTGGCTCAGTGGTTGAGCATCGACCTATGAACCAGGAGGTCACAGTTCCATTCCCAGTCAGGGCACATGCCCGGGTTGCAGGCTTGATCCCCAGTGTGGGGCGTGCAGGAGGCAGCCGATCAATGGTTCTGCCTCATCGTTGGTGTTTCTGTCTCTCTCTCCTTCTTCCTTCCTCTCTGAAATCAATACAAATATATTTTAAAAAGAAAAAGAGACAGGTTGGCCTGCGTTACAGTGTGCGAGGCCTGCGTTTTGAGGCAGGACGTGCTGTTTGGGCCCTTGTGCCACGTGCACATTGCCCACCCTTGCTCTAGCCTCTGAGGATGATCGTGTCAGCCTCACTCTCCTTCTCCCAGTCGCATCCCCATCCCACTCCCTGGTCTTGTCATACTTTGCTGCCCTCCTCCTTCCCAGGACAGGGACTGGTGGCAGGAGGGCAGAGTGAGGAGGAGTTAGGGAAGCAGGACTCTGGTCCCCACCTGGTCTCTAACCCACTGAGCACTGGCTCACCCCTGGGTGTGACCTGGGGTTAGTGACTCCCAGGGCCTCGGTGAGGGGACAAAGCACGTGGAGGTGTGCTGGACCAGGAGCCGGAGCTCTGTGGAGGAGGACACAGAGGCAGGAAAACATGGGCTTAAGGCAAAGATGTCTGCACTGGGGCTCTGTGCTTCTGTTTGGGGGGCAATCAAGAAACAACTCAGGTGCGCATGCTTATATAGGGTTTTTGTCTCTAATTTTAAGAGCATTTTCTATATTACAAATAGTAACCCTTTGTCTGTGACATCCATCACACATATTTTCCACAGTAAGTCGTTAGTCTTTTTATTCTGGCCAGGGGCTTTTATGCTATGTAAATGTTTACATTTTTATTCCGTCAAATGTATTAATGTTGCCCACTATCATGTATGGATTTCAAGTCATGGGGAAGTTTTCACCATCCCCAGTTATGGAGGACTTCCCCCCAGTTCTCGTCTAATACTTGCATGGCTTCATTTTTTATTTTACCCCTAAATCTCTGGTTCATTTGAAATGATCGGGTACATGGTTTGAGGAATAGATTTCATTTTATCTATTTCCATGAGGCCGGCCAGGCATCCCCGCCTCACATATTCAAGAGCCCTTTCTCCCGCTCACTGGCTGGCGATGCCATCTGTACTGGGTACTTACTTGTTTTGCATCTGCAAACTGGTTTGGTTTCTGGATTTTCTTCCATCTATGAATGGGCCATGTTAATGATGGATGCTGTGTATATGTTCTAATATATTGGAATCTGGCTGTATCTCAAGCATTATCTAGCTATTCTCATTTGATCTTTCTTAAATTATAATCAGCTTGCTTTTAATTCCAGGAGAAGAAAATGCACGGTACTTTATTGAGATCATTTAAAGTTTATAAATTACCCTAGGGAGGGTGGACATCTTCATGAAATTGTCTTTTTACCCAAGAATGTGGCCTGTCTTTTCATTTGTTCGTCTCCCTTTTTGTCTTTCCTTTTTCTCTTAATATGAATTTTAGGTATTTTAAGATTATGCTTAAGTATTTAATTATCATAAATGGGGTCATCTCTTTCATTACCTCATTTTTCTTCCATTATATCTTTTAAATGGCTTTTGCTTACATAGATTTTTGCATGTTGATTTTATGACCTGCTTCTTTTTACAAAATTCTAATATTTTGTGGTAGTTTTCCCATTGATTCTTTTGCATATTGTAGAAATATAAATGTCAGCTGAAATTATATAGTTCTATCTCTTTCTTTGCTCTAATTTGCTTTTTTTTGTTTCATCAAAGTGGGATAACTCCAACACGGTGTTAAAGAGTGATGGACAATGTGGCCTTACTTTAGTGGTAAAGCTTCTAGTGCAGCGGTTCTCAACCTATGGGTCGCGACCCCTTTGGTGGTCGAACGACCCTTTCACAGGGGTCGCCTAAGACCATCCTGCATATCAGATATTTATATTACGATTCATAACAGTAGCAACATTACAGTTATGAAGTAGCAACGAAAATAATTTTATGGTTGGGTCACATGAGGAACTGTATTTAAAGGGCCAGAAGGTTGAGAACCACTGTTCTAGTGTTTTCTCATTAAGATCATCCTGACTTTTGGGATGAAGTATACGAATTTTTTTATCATGTTAAGAAAGCATCCATTAATTTCTATTTTATATAGTATTTAAAAAATCATGAATGGGTGCTCATTTCATATGTCTCTCTGCTTCTATGAAAATGGCCCTGCAATTTTTCTTCTTTGTCCCATTAATGTGATATAGTAATGATTTTCCCAGCATTGACCCGCGCTTACAATTCTGACGGAAACTCCAGCCTGGCCAGCATGGCTCAGTGGTTGAGTGTCAACCTATGAACCAGGAAGTCATGGTTTGATTCCCGGTCAGAGCACATGCCCGGGGTTGGGCTCTCAATCCCCAGGATGTGTGAGGCGTGCAGGAGGCAGCCGATCCATGAGTCTGTCTCATCATTGATGTCTCTATCTCTCTCCCCCTCCCGCTTCCTCTCTGAAATCAATTTAAAAAGTATATATGTATATATATGAATATATGTATGTATGTGTGTGTGTGTGTGTATATATATATATATATATATAGTACAGAAAATATTTTTTAAAATGAAATAAAAATAGATCTGGAAATTTAAAATAAAGTAATATGTGTAATAAATAACTTAATAGAAAAATTTGAAAATACTGAATTAAAGGATAATTTGGAAGAAAAAAATGTATTACCAAAATTGTTTAAACAGGAAGAAATAAACAAAAGACATAATTTTAAAAACTCAAAGTATTATCTAATAAATGGTTCTATACTCAGAAGGTTAACAAATCAATCTTTTGAAATATTTTTACTTTTCATTTTTTTGTTAATCCTCACCTGAGGATATATTTCCATTGATTTTTAGAGAGAGTAGAAGGGAGGGGAAGAGACAGAGAGAAACATCTCTTTAAAGTGTTTTAAAGAGAGAAACATCGATGTGAGAGAGACACATCAATTGGTTGCCTCCCATACATGCCTGGACCATGGCCAGGGATCGAGCCTGCAACTGAGGTACATGCTCTTGACTGGAATCGAACCCAGGACCCTTCAGTCCAAGGGCTGACAGTCTATCCACTGAGCAAACCAGCCAGGGCTTAAATGTTTTTTAAAGAGAAAATGTCTGTTTGTAACTTTCTCTAGAACAACCCAAGAGGTAGAAAGGTATGTGGCTGAATCTCCAAAGGATTCAAATTCCTGATGTCCAAATCTGATATCGGACGTAGAAATAAAAGGAAAAGCGCCCTGACTGGTTTGGCTCAGGGGATAGAGCACCAGCCTGCGGACTGAGGGTCCCAGGTTCGGCTCCAGTCAAGGGCACATATCTGGGTTGTGGGCTCAATCCCCAGTAGAGGGTATGCAGGAGGCAGCCAATCAATGATTTTCTCTCATCATTGATGTTTCTCTCTCTCTCTCTCTCCTTCTCCCTTTCGCTCTGAAATGAATAAAAAATATATTTAAACTTAAAAAAAGGAAAAGCAATTCAATGTTACAAAAGAATATTACCTTTTTCCCCCATAAAAAAAGCATGAGCTGAATCTTATGGGCTGTTTCCAATACTAATGCTAAGTATTGATATGCAACTACTTTTTGAACATATTGATAACTAAATAAAATTGTTTTAATCATTTTTAAATCACATATGATGTTCATGGCCCCTAACCTTTATGTTTCTCATACCATACATGTCACAAAGAATATTTTGCTCTGGCCGGGTGGCTCAGTGAGTTGGAGCATCATCCTGTACAGCAAAAAGGTTGTGGGTTCCATTCCCAGTCAAGGCACATACCTAGGTTGTGGGTTTGATCCCCTGCCTCAGTGCTTAGGGGAGGCAACTGATGGATGTTTCTCTCTCACATCGATGTTTCTCACTCTCGCTTCCTCTCTCAAATCAATAAACATATCCTCAAGTGAGGATAAAAAAATATATATTTTAGACAATAACATACTTGGCTATTCAAACTCTACAGGCAATTTTCCAGCAACATTGTAAAGCTAAAAGTCTAATTTATTGACACTATTATGTAATAGAGGATATCTCAAAGTTTGGGTTTTAGTAACTTTAAAAGCATAAATGGTATAAGCATATAAAAAGCATCATTTTAGTATATGTGCTGCCGAAGCGAGCACTAAAAGCATCATTTTAAAGTTGCAATTTTTCTTTTTACCTTCACTTTCTTTGTGAATGTTGAATAATAAACTTTTAATGGCAAATGAGGGGAAAACCACACAGAAGAGTAGCTAACCAAAATAAACAGAATCTGCAGAAAAATACTGACAATTATATCTTTGAAAATACATGAAGACCAACCGAAAAAGAACAGGCCAAAGCCATTTATTCAGAGCTCGCCATCGAGCAAAGGGGTCAGTCAGTGTCCCTCGGCTTCGGCAGGCAGAGGGAGGGGCAGTTTTACAGCTGGCAAAAGGCAAGGCTTCGGGTGGGCTCTCACTGGGGGCTGTTGGCTGGGGAAGCTGGAGGCAGCTTAGCAGAAGTGGGGCGTCCTATGCGATTGGTGAGGGGTGCATACTTGACTTTTCCTGGTTGGTCCTAACTTAGAAGTGGGGACAAAAATTAGGGAAGCTGTCAGTTATTGATCAAGCCCAGGTCCTTTGGGGCCAACGGTTACAGAAGTTACTGTTTAGCTTCCCGGATTGTTTGAGAGATAGCAATCTGGCTCCCTGGGCTGTTTACTGAAGATAAGCGGTTGGTTTCTCCCCCACCCTCCACTCCCACCCCCTGACATGCGGCCAGGCAGGTCAGAATCCTGTTTCTATACACGGTCTGGCCACTGTCCGCGTGTATATGCGGTATCTCAGAGGTATAACTTCCGGATTGCCTTATTCTGCCATGAGCATAACGTTTGGGCAGGGGTTCCCTGAGACCTGAGAATTACTGCAAGGGTTCCTTCAGAGTGAACACACTGAGAAAGGCTGCCTGATTCTTCACCTGGGAATGGGATCACCATGCCTATTTCGGGAGGGGCACGCGGACCGAAGAGCAGGCGTACATAAAGTCCCCTCACCTAACAGGCTTTCTGGGACGAGGCCTGCAGCCAGGTCGGACTTGGAAGGCTGGGGCAGCCATCAGCCGCCCCCCAGAGGGGTACAGGGCTGGGGACAGATCAGCTCTGGGGGGAAGCCGCCAGGGCGACGTAAGAAAGGGTGCGCACACGGACAGCCCGCCGGTCCACCCGGGCCAGACCGTATTCTCTCCCGACCAGCCCACGGCGCCACACCCACCACCACGCCTGCCTTCACACCCGCCGCCACTGTGGCAGGAAGTGCCTCAGGGATTACCGGAAGCCGCCTCGCCGCGGAGGCTCCTGGGAGTTGTAGTCCCCACTCCCCAGGACCAGGGGTAGCTACGCACTGTTGCGAGGTCTCCCAGTGTGGTCGGCGCACTGCCGCACCCCAGACTGGTCTTGAGTGGCAAACACCCGGGACCTGATGGGTTCTGAGGCCCCCGTTGCACCTCGGATTGGCGGTTCCCTCCGCGCCAGGCTGTAGAGCGGACACGCGTGGCGGACTCCACGCTGGGAAGGGTGCTCCATGCGGGTCGGTGGGCGGCTGCCCCGCCGTCTTTTGCAGAGAGTCGGGGTTCCTGTCTGGATCGGGGAGGGTGCTGCAGGCAGGTCTCACTGCATCTCTGTCCTCCCGCAGCTCGGCCACATCCGAGTTCACCATCCGCAGGGGCCCAGTGACAGCCTGGCTGGGTCAGCGGGGGGCCCGCTCTCCCGAGAACGGCCACCCCGCTTTCCCGGTGGCGGGTTTGTTTCTGTCCCTGGACCCTGAGCTTCTCTGCGCACCCAGGTCCCAAAATGCGGCTCAGGCGGCCCGGCCTCCTGTGGGCAGGAGGGACTGACAGGGAAAGGCCCCCTTCTCGCCGACCCTCCCTCCCTGCCCGGGACCCACATCGCAGCCAACGGGACGCTCTGAGTCCGAGGGCTGTGGAATGATGGTTATCTCAGGATCCACAGTGTCTGTCCTCCTTCCACAAACCTGTTGGGTGTCTGTGTCAGGGTCCCGGGAAGCACAGGGTCCGCTCCTTGGCTGGGGTCCTCTGGAAGTCCGTACATACACACACAGTCCTGATGCATACTGAGTAGTAGCGACGTACGTCTCAGAGTTACTCTTTCTCTGCCTCACGTCTTTCTGATTG